TGCTAAATGAGGATGCCCTAATCGCTCATGTAACAGTTTTGGGGATAAGGACGCAACACAAGATACAGATGACTTAGTCCTAAGGTAGTATAAGCCTCTAGATTCACGTCCTTCTCCAATCAGTCGACCCGTACCACGTTCCTGGATAACAAAACAATTGGCATTAAAGGTTACTGAGCAATTCAATGATTTGGTTAATTGGCTTACAGAAACAAGACTGAATGGAAAAGAAGGAACACAAAGAACATTTTGAAGGTTTAAAGAAGAAGAGAAGGATACTTGACCAATTCCTTTAGAGGCTACTTTAGATCCATTAGCTAAAGATATGAGATGGGATGTTTTAGGAAATGAAAGAGAGGAAAATAAAGAGGTATTACCAGACATGTGGTCAGAAGCACTTGAGTCAATAATCCATGGATTTTGACTTTCCACAGATTGCGAAATGCAAGCTATTGACGAATTTGGTGTCGTAGATGCTTGAGCCAAATTGGTTGATTTCATCCTTAAATATTCTTGATACTCTTCATGAGAGAACTTGGGCTCATCAACTTCAGATTTTGAGGTATTAGCTGCCTTATTAGGAAAGTCGTGCAGAGCAAAGCAATTTTCCTTAGTATGCCCCATTCTTTTGCAATGAGAGCACTGAGGACGTCCTTTCCCACCACGTCCTCTAGAGTTGTGATTACCTCTTCCACGAGCAGAAATCATGGCGGAAGAATCAGCAAGTTCCTGACTGTTTTTGCTTTTGATAGAAGGAACACGAAGTAGCCTTGTGATTAAACTCTCCGTAGAAGGAACTTCTTCTCCAGTTAGAATCTGGTCTCTAACATGATTAAACTCTGGATTCATAGCCCTAAGAATCATTACCATATAGAATTTATCCAGCTTCGTCTTTCTTTCTTCTAATGATTTTGCCTCTAGGAACATTTTTAATTCTTCAACAGCTGACTGAGCTTCAGCAACAAAGGACATCATGGAATTATCCTCTTGCTTAAGGGAGACTAGTCTATTAGCAGAATCATAAAGTCGTTGAATATCGTTAGCAAAGATATTTTGAGCCTTTTTCCAAAAAGAATTACATGTCTTGAAGGCTCGAAGAGTGCTCAAAATATGTGGTTCAACATATTGCCATAATAGTGCACAAAGTTGATAATTCAGTTTCTTCCATTGAGGAGTCTGATCTGCTGGTATAGTACTTCCATCTTCTTCTAGATGATCATGAACTCCTTGACCTAGAAACCAGAGCTCAACAGAGGAAGCCCAAGACAAATAATTTTTTCCATTTAATTTTTCTGTGGTTATAGTCGGAGTCCCAAAAAAAGATACAGACACAGGTCCTGACATTTTCCAGGAAACAAGAAAGGACCAGCGTGCTGTCAAAGAGAGGCAGAGAGAAAAACGCAGACCCACCACGTTTTGTGACCGAGAACACAAAACAAAGTGCAGATCTGGCACCAGGGCGACGAGGCGAGCCGGATAGAGGTGGCCTGGAGCAAAACAGCCACCGAGAGGGCGGCGCGTGAGGCCCACGCGCGGAGGAAGCCATGGACGAGGGTGGCGCGTGGCGGCACGTGAGGCAGAGATAGAGGAAGCGAACACTGGGGTTGGGTCACGCTCCTCGAGGCGAGCCAAACCCAAGTGTTAGAGAGGAAAAAGGCGCCGGAGAAGACAGCACCGGCGGCGGACGACGGCAGACGGTGGTGAACGGCGATTAATGCCAGAAAAAAAACAGAGACAGGCAGAGCGGGATGAACCCGCTCTGATACCAACTTGAAATAGAAAAAAGAAAATAAAGAACTGATTTTGAGAGCCTGAAATCACTTCTTGTGTTCTCTTATTTATAGGAGATAAAAATACAGATTCAGAGATACAATTAATAGAGAGACATGATTAATCCTAGAGAAGATAAACAGATGCATTCTAGGAACTAGGTCGACAACTAATCTCATAAATGTCCAACAAGATACACTTAATCTAATAAATACTTCAATAACTATATTAAAAATGGAGATGTACTTAACTCAACCTTACAAAACTAGTTTGTAAGGTGAGTTTTGCCCCTCAATTATATATTATAAGTTTGTTATATTTAGTGTGAGAGTTCTAAAACATTTCCGAGGAATGGACATCACGAGAGCGTAAAACTTAATATTAAGGATGGTCCGATAGTGGTCCAATTATGGGTGGAGTGATTGGTCAACAAATTTCCCTAGGATGGGTTTTGATACCATATTAAAAATAAAAGGTTCCTAATTCAACTACAAAACCAACTTATAAGGTGAGGTTTGTACCTTAATTATACATTATAAATTGATCCTATCTTTAGTTGATGTGGAATCTCCAACAAGACCTAACAAAGCTCAGTATGATAGACTATGATATCATATTAGAAAGTAAATTTAGGCCTAACTCATCTCTACAAAATTGCTTTGTAAGGTAAGGTGAGGCTTGCACTTATTCAAAGTTTTAAGAGTTTTTTAATGATAATAATTAAAAATGTTGAATTAAAATGGATAATTTTCTCATTGATATAAAATTTAGTGAAATGATTGAAACTTGAAAGCTGACCAAATAATTTAAGCTTTTAGGAGAGGTGAAAGGTGGCCCTTGGGATGATATCACAACCTTTGTCATAAAGTCTTTAGGGGTTTGATCCTCATTGTCTTATGTTTTTCTCAATAGCATGCATATTAATGTTTCAAGCCAAACTAATTCTGGAAATGGTGTTTTTGAGATATATAAAAACTAATCTTGAGCCTTTGCCACACAACTAACTATTCAACAGTAACTATTTGAAGAATTACTGAGGCAAGTGTATGTTCAGCCTGTCTGGTAAAATTTCATTTCCTCAGATTGGGGCATGGCGGAATTTTTGCGGGCTGCTACGGCAAGGTGGTGGCGAAACAGGTTTTGCATGGTGGCTGCTTTGGCTGTAATGGAATGGCGCTGTGGAGTGGTTATGGAGTAAATCTCGCTCCTGTAGCCATGCAACTTGCATCCAGAGGTAGAAAATGTGTCGGGCCCATGAAACCTGACCCGACCCACAACTAACTAGGAATTTTCCTTTGAATAATCTGAAGTTTTGCTATTTGTATGGGTTTGTAAGAGACCCAGCCCAATAGCAGCCAAAAAAATATAAAAAAAGTTGGGTTGTCCAGCCCAACCTAAACCTGACAGTGAGAAAATAAATTTTATAGTTGACCCCCATCTTGCACTTCGTCCAATCGCAGTTGTGAAAATTTTCTGGTATTTTTTTTTTCTTTTCTTTCTCAGTTCAACCCCATATAGTTTTTCATTCTTCCTTCATTCATATATGGCAAGATGAATCAACCATTTTTTCTTTAATTTAATGATATTTTTATGACTTAAATTTGATGATATTTCACTTTAATTTAATTGATATTTAAAATTTTAGACCATATTATTAATTATATGATTATTTTTTATTAATTTTTACATTTCAACTATATACATATATTTCAATTATATTCATATTTATATCTTATATTTTTTTCTTTCCACCATAACCTAATGTGAAATCCGATATATTTTCATGAAGGATTTTCGGGTTACCGATAATATTTTGTTATCCGATATTTGATAACACTGTTAATTTTCCTGAAGAAAATACCAAAATTAGGAAAATTGGTGTTGGTAGATGCTTGCGTCCAAATAAAAAATTCCTAATCATGAAATTTAAAACAGGAAATAAATATCAGAAACAATTAATACAATCTACATCAGTTGGCCATTGATGTAAATTAATTTTATTTTTATCTATTATCTATTGATCTTGAATTCTCTGGTATGTGCTGGCTAGGAATTTGTTATTTCTTTCAACTCCAACAACAGCTTTTACTCATAGTATGTCCTCTCAGAATAATTCATTAGTGTTTACAAACTTACATAGTTTTTGTTCTCCCTGCTTTATACAGCAAACCTGGACATCAAAACACTGTACCATTTTCAGTTAAACCAGAGATCAATTCTATGGAGCTTGTATCCCCCAGAATAAATTCTGAAAATCATAGTAGTGGGATACAGAGTGCAGCTCTGCCTCAGTCAAACTGGCACTTTCCTGGTTCTACAGAGGTTGGAGCAAGGAAACCTGATGGTTATGATAATTTGTCACAGGATCCTCATCAAGGAGGTAGTGTTCTATGAATTCTTGGTTTATGTGTGTGAGTACAGTTTTTTGTTGGTTCTCAAATTATAAATCGAATGGTTAAGGTGCATATGTTGCTTTTTTTTAAACAATTGTGACTGTTTCTGAAATTGAGTCCAATCTTCTACACCAGGTAATGTTCTGCATTCACTTTCTGGAGCACATGGACCTCCCATCCCACCACCACAACAAATTCAGTCATCTCCTTTTGTTCACCCTGTTTATGCTCCTCCAAATGGTCCATGGGATCATCGTGCAATAAATAATCATTTACCTGTCAGCCAATTCAACACAGGAGTAATGCCAAATAATTTTCATGGTAATGCTGTTGTAAGTCCTTTTATTCCTGCTTCAGTGACGCCACTTGCTCAGATACAAGGAACTCCAATGCATCCCTATAACCAGCAGGTGCCTCCATCAATTATACCACCACCTTTATCATCCTTGCCACCTCCTCAGCCTGAAATGCCACCTCCACTTCCTCCTTCTCCGCCACCTTTACCCCAGGTTCAGCCACCCTTGGTTCCTCCACTGCCTAGTTCGCCTCCTCCCCCTCCTCCTCCACCACTGCCTGTCCAAGAACCCATCAATATTGAATGTTCAAGGCAGTCTTTGCAGTATCAATGGCAGGGGAATCTATGTAAAAGTGGGGTTAATTACTGTACAATTTATGCATGCAAAGCAGATTCAAATATTTGCCAATATTCAAATGCCATACCTGAGCCTGCTGAGTAAGACATCAATTGTTGCTTCCTTATTGGTCAATATTATTTTCTTCAAATGGATGCCCATTCAGATTGCTTTTCTCTGGTGCAGGTGGCCTGCAAAGTTAGACATGACAAAGCGTACAGATCTTAGACATGTGAAATCAACATTTGCTGCTACTCCATCTCATAGAGTGAGTTTTCCAACATCCATTGGCTGCTCCCCTTCTCCAACTATCTCGCGCCCATTCTGTTGAGAACGTTTGTTGATTGATTTCTTTCATTATATTCGTGGGTTTACATTTCTCAAGATACTATAGCATTCTCAAACTTAATTAGCATGCTTTGATCCCCATCTATCCTCCCTTCGAATTTTAATTTGCTTGTCTACCCTATCTGTTTTGTTACATGTCTGCTGCCTGTCTACAGTTTGACTTATAAGAGCTTGTTGTGTGGTATACATATCATAATCATGTTTTTTTCCATAATCAGGACCAACTGATTAGAATTGATTTGTACAATTTCTATTCTCGTGTAAATTGCTCAATGAGGTTAGACATAGTATATAGTATATAAATATGATTTGTAATCAACCTATGCAAATTACTGAATTAGGAATAACATTCAGACACCTTTTTCATGTTGGTATCAAATCTTTTAATATTGGGGAGGCTTTAATTAGTCTAAATTAATCCAAAAAGTTCATGAAATAGGGATTGTCCAAACCTTTGCGCCCTACTTTCGCCATATCTATAGGGATCTCAATACTGACCCCCACCCAGGATTATACATATAGAACGTCAAGATTGTAGTAGGACTGAGTTTTTTAATAGCAAAGTCATGGGGTTAAAGAGATTGAACTAAGCAAGTTGCAGAGCTATGTAGGATTTTTTTTTTTTTTAATTGCACTGAGAAAGCTGCAGGCCTGGTAGATTTTTGGAGAGGCTACGATGGTCCAGTATTGATTAATTTGTTTTTTCTATATTTTTCTTAGTATGGTTGATATTATATATATATATATATATATATATATATATATATATATATATGAAAAAAAATGGTGCATTACTGTCAGAGGAATTGATTGTATTTATTTGTCATCGGTCATATTGAATTTTTACTATTAAAAAAATTTATTGAATGGTTGCCAAAATTTAAGCAAAAATGTTATATTCACGGTTTGCTAATGACTCATTCACTACTTTAAGCAAAACATATATGAGGTTTGTAGAAGAAACATAGTTCTGATACCGAGACAGTTGTATAATAAATAATATGTGTATAAGTATCCAATATTATTTAAAGTATTTGAGGTTGTCCGTGTTGCATATCTAAACTGAATTTTGTTATGCAATCTATGTTGCCGACCTTACCTAGTGAGATAAGGATTTGTTATTGTTGAGGTTGTCTGCATCATTCTTTCATTCCCAGAATCTGACTTTATGGTATTGATTTCTGGCGCAGAGGGAAGTATGCCGTCTCATCCCATCTTCCACCAGTGACCACAGAAGGGTATGTTTTCTTTTCCTCATTTATTTCTGATTTCAAGATAATGTTGTCTCTCAGAACTGCTCACTGAATCTTATGGGGGATTTAGTTTACCTGTCTTTGTTGTTACTGGGACTTCCTGGAACAACTAAATTATCTCACAATTTCTGGTATATTATGTTTAGAATCCTTTGCCTAAGGTTTGCGTAATTCTGGGCAAGGAATAATAATGGACCAACTTTTAATCCCTTGCTGAGATGTACTTCATATAATCTTAATCTGCTATTAAATAAACTCTTCTGGTGCTCTGTTTTTTAAATCCTCTGGACATTATTAATCATTCTGGTATTACATTTTACGTAAATTTGCACACGTGCATTTACATGTGATAATTGGAATGTGTTTTTTCCTGTAACATTCCCATTCCTCTCGTTGACCCTTTGTCTCTCAACCAGTTTCAGGATTTCATATCATACTTAAAGCAGAGGGATTGTGCTGGGGTTATTAAAATCCCAGCTTCAAAATCCATATGGGCAAGGCTGCTCTTCATTCTCCCCCACTCACTTGAAACCTGCTCTTTGCTTTCTATTGCACCTGATCCCTCAGATTGCCTCATTGCTTTGGTTCTTCCCAAAGAAACAAACTTTGAGTGGATATGATTTTGATTTTGATAGGTGTCCTTCAAGTAAAATCATATAGCTTAGCCAGTAGTGGAGCTGAAGGCCTATGTTGTATGCTCAACGTGAATTAATGTAAATTTTTCATGCTATATTTGCTTTAATTGTAGAGGCTTTTTGTTCTTTTCTTCTGGAGAGTAGCAGAAACTGGAAATTTGGGGTTTTGCTATGACTGGCTGTATATCCTGTTGTAGATCTAACGATGCTGTTGTGAAAATTTTTGTTGATGTAGATCCAAGATTCTTTCTCCATTTTGGTCTACAATCTGTCGAACTTAAGTTTAATAAACTCTCAAATTAGTCTTCATAACAGGTGGACATTTTAATTCTCCTCAAGATTTAAATTTCTAGTTAGTTCTCAATTTAGCAAAATGTCATTCAGTTGAATGGTTCTTAAGTGCAAAACAACTGTTAAAAAAAAGTAGAAAAAAATAATTATCGTAAGGTCATTATTATATCTTGTACCATTTCAAGGTCCAATTTAAAATATTCAGTCTCTGAAGAGTAATTTTTGTAAAGTTTCAAAGAGTTCTGCCTTTTGTTTCAAAACAATGTTATTTCAAATAAATATGAGAATTGGCAGGAGTATAGATTATAGAGACTAGTGTATTCAAATAATTTCTCATGTCAAATTCATTAAACTCCTGAATTGTTTGAAATTAATCTGAATTCTTTAAAATAAAAAAAATACTATAAACTTATAGTGTTAACGTGTGACACATCCCTCGTATAATCATTAGTGGTCTAGAAGGTAAACGTAGAGAATAAATTATTAGGTAGTTCGAGAATATCTTCTATTAATTTTTATAAAATATGCCGAGGTTTGTTAATTCTTCTTTTTCATAGATTAAAAAATATTCAGTATGTATCATATATAAATTAGGTTAAATTATAACCAGTAAGTGTCCTTAATTTTTTTCATAATTTCTTTACAAAGACATGACCTTTTCATACAACTTGCCAATCTCGATTCTAAATCATGTTTGCCTTCTTGTGGCGTGTTGCATCTAATTTACTTTTTCTTAGTTTAAAAAAAAATATATATATATATATATATATATATATTTTAAATATTTTACCTTATATTTTAATAAAATTTATTATTATATTTGAGATATTGTCTGTTTTATAACTAAAAAATATAATAAATTGAAAGAAGAGAATCAGTATAAATTATTTTTTATTTTTATTCTTAAATTATTTTTATTTTTATTCTTAAATTATATAGATTTATCGTACCAATATATATATATATATATATATATATATATATATATATATATATATATATATATATATATATTTTTTGAAGAGAATATATTCTAATAATGACGGAGTTTAAAATGGTTACCACACTGCACAAAGAAAGTTAATTCAATCTTTACTCACTAAATTCCAAGTTCCCGATTGTACCCTTTTACGTTCCAATGTCATAATTTGAGTGTTGTGCTCCTCTCCCTCTGAATCCTATGTTAGATGCACACACTAAGCACATGAAGTTAAATATTCATTTTGATCATTAGAAGGTTGCATTCAAGGCTCTTCAAGTTCCAGCATATTGCAACCGCTGATCAATTTATTTTGTTCTAAATCTAAGCAAACCTGCTGTCTATTTCCTTAGCTGACATTTGAGCCAAGTTCAAAGTGCTCCCCTATTATCGTTACATGTACTGTGGTTAACCATTAATTATATTTTTAAAACTTATTCCAGAAAACTCATAATGTTGTTACGTTAGATATTATGTAATATTCAATTAAGATTAGTGTAATTATTTAATTTTTTAATAATTTAATTAGGTTCACATATTTACACAATTTTATATATTCTAAACATCCTGTACATATTTTATTCTCTAATACAAAATCTATGTATCAATTTATATTTTTTTTATATCTTAGTACCCGAGCGATAATGATAATTTAAATTTTAAATCCTTTTAAACTTTCAAATAGAAAAAAAAATTTTGATTCATTTAGAACGAAATGAGTTGCTCTTTTTATTTAAACTCGAGGAGTTTTCAATAATCATTCGTAGAATAATATGCAAATGTTAAAATTAATAAATAAAATTTTCATTTTCAAATAAAATGAAAAAGTATATGTATTACAAACAATTATGAATTATTCTGATAAAATTATTAATATTTTAATGATATGTGGACTATTGATATTAAAAGCCACAAATCATATGTTAAGTGGCCTTAAAAAGGTTAATTAAATTAAATCATTTATAAAAAAATATATTTTTGACAAAAGGAAGGATTTTTAATCTTATTAACAATTTAAATCTTGATTTTGTCTTAATTATTATTTACTTATTAAAATTTTAATTTTTTATATTTTTTTAAATAACAGTTGATTTATCTTATGTGGTAATTTGATTACGGCATTAATGCACTAGTTATGTCTCTTTTGGATATTTAAAAAAATATTCTTTAGTTTATTTTAAAAAAAAATATGATTTTTCTAGTTTTCATTGTGATATTTGTGAATTTGTAAATAATTATAGAATTTATGTTCATTAATTTAAAATAAAAATCATGAACCATATAAAATCTAAACTTTGTGAGAATTTTTTTTTTGTTATTTTTATTAATGATTATGCAATAATGACTTGATTGTACTAGATAAAATCCAAAAATAAGGTAAGTTTATTATTAAAAATTTCATAATAAAAATTGAATATAATGTTCAAAATCAAGTTTACATAGCGATTATAATGGAGAGTACACAAAATTTGAACTCCAACAATATTTAGAAGCTAAAATAATTTGTACACATGAACAAATGAGGTTAGTGAGAGAAAAATTGTCATTTGTTATAAGTTATTCACACTTCATTGATTTAGATACACATGTAATTGTCTTGTTAGGAAGAAGCTCCTAGTTTGACACTATATTTAGTTTTATTGAGTTTAAGACATCTTTGAAACCTTTCATAGTTTAACTATCACCCTAACATTTCCTAATTTATCCCCGCATGCATTGGATGTGTTAAATTTGTTCATCTTTATAGGCATCAATGCAACAAGTGGTCGAATAAGTCATTCAATGTGTTTGTTTTTAATACATTTTATATAAAATAAGATATAGATATTATCCTCCTCTCATCAAGAGGGGGGTTTACTTGAAAGAGATCATACCAATGAGATATAAGTCTAACTTATATAAATGATTGACAACACCTTCAACCCAAAACTTTAAGACATTGAGTTATGAGTCTTTTTTCCTTATATGTTGTTCAATTTCCTCATTCTTACTCAATGTTGGACTTAGACTCATACTTAAATTTCTCAATAATCTCTCTCTCAAGTGTGATTCCCTTCACATTGGTACATCCCCTCGAACTCACTAGTAACCCTTAATTGTAAGTTCGTTTATCATAACAGGTTGAACTCACTAATGCCCCTTGTACCATCATTTATCATAACAAGACACACTAGCATGATCCACTATCAAGAAGACTTTCAATATAAAAAACAATCTTAAACAATCGGTTCAATACAAGGACCATTCTTAAACGGTCGGTCACCATACAACCCACCTATCATCTCTAATACCACTATTGGGTCTTTCGAGGAGGATTCACATGAGAGAGATAACACCAATGAGACATGAATCCAACCCACATAAGGAATTAATACCACTTTCAACCAAAAATCTTAAGACATTAAGTTATGAGTCTTACTTCCTTATATGTTGTTCAACTTTCTCATACTCAATGTGAGACTTAGACTCACTTGGATTTCCCAAGAGTATACCCCCCAAGTGTGAGTCTCATCACATTGGTATATCCCCTTCAGTTCCATTTACCGCCGTTTATCATAATGAGACATGCTTACCTGACCCACTATCAGGAAGACTTTTGATACAAAGACTAAATCCAACAATCTACCCTCAAGTGTGAGTCTAATCACATTGATATATCTCCCTCGAGTTCCATGTAACATTGTTCATCATAACAGGACATGCTTATCTAACCCACTGTCAGGAAGATTTTCGATACAATGACCACTTTTAAACTGTCGATCACCACACAAATCATCGATTTTGATACCACTATTAAATCATTTAAGAGGGGATTCATTCGGGAGAGACCATACCAATGAGACATGAGTCAAACTCACATAAGAGATTGACACCACCTTCAACCAAAAACCTTAAGGAATTGAATTATGACTCTTTTTTCCTTATATGTTGTTTAACTTCCTCATTTTTACTCAATGTGGGACTTATACTCACATTTGAATTTCCTAACATATGTATATAACAACAAATGTGGTTTTTTATAAAGACAAAACATATTTTGCCTTTGAGTTTGACTCACCTTTGAATTTTCCAACATATGTATATAACAAAAAATGTGGTTCTGTATAAAGATAAAACATATTTTGCCTTTGAGTTTGATTTTTAGGGGGACAACCAACAAGAAATCTAGGAAATTTAGACTCTATAATATGATATGGATCTAAGTAATGCAAGCCCCCACTTAATGGAAATAACGTTGAAGTGTCACATTAAACTCTAAATGGAGATAAATTTGAAGCCACATGAATATTTTAATAAAAATGTTACCAATCATTTGTTAACCAGAAAATAATTACAAATTGTCTCATTAGAGATATTTCTAAAATTACTTATGAACCAAAACTTTCTATTAAAGTTAAATATCTTATAAGTCACTATGTATCTAATAATAAACTATTAGAAACAAATAAAATATTTATGAATTTGTTATCTAATGTAACTATCTCTAACAATTTGCAACAATTTTTAGTTTATCTAAGATGTAAGGTTACTATGAATGAGCATATGAACTTCAAATAAAAAAAAACTTGGACCCTTGTTGATTGTCTATCTGCAAAAAAAACTAGTAGGATGTCAATGAATTTACATCGTTAAATGTAAAGCAGGTGACATAATATAATTATTTCAAGCAAGACTTGTGACAAAATTATATATTCAAACATTTGGGTTTGATTACATAGATTTTACTGTAGCCAAAATTAACATTGTTATTATCTTTAACAACAAATTGGATTGACCATTGAAATAATTTGTTGTAAAAAATATATTTTTACAAGAGAAATTAACTAAAAATTGTATATAAAACGCCCTCAAGGTTGCATGGTACCCAAAAAACACAATAAGAATGTATTTAAATAAAAAAAAATCTCTGTATGACTTAAAACAATCTCCATGAGCATGATCACTTAAATATCGTCAAAGTAATTTAGACTATACTTTATTTTTGAAAAAAAAATAAGAAATTATTATTGTTACAAGAAATTATCCAAAGGAAAGTAAAACATTATAAAAGTATTTATCAAATGAGTTTGAAGGATCTTAATTCCTTGAAATATTTTTTAGGGATTAAAGTATCTAAATATAAGAAATGAATATTTTTACCCTACAAAAATATGTCGTAGACTTGTTACAAGAGATATGTATCTTAAGTGTCAACTAGCTAATACAAATAATGGAGGAAGTTTTAAAGTTATCTACTATATCATATTAAGTTCTAATTAATAAACTGAGATAGAAAATAATTGTAAATAGATTGATGTGTTTAGCACATGTCTTACCTACACATTAAATATTATCAGTCAGTCTATGTATAATTCTAAAAAGTAACATATGAATGTAGTTTATACACATTTTAAGATATCTAAAGTCAACATCAAGAAAAATATTATTGTTCACCAAAAATACAACAAACTATCAATAAATATATGTATATACTGATGTTGATTGGACTAGATCATTGGAAGATAGACAATTAATATCAACCTACTTTACATTTATTAGTTGTAATCTTATTACACAAAGAAGTGAAAAAATATAACGTGGTATCTAGTTCAAATGAAGAAATTGAGTTTAAAACTTTCTCAGTTAAAATTTGTGAAAGTTTATGGTTAGGAACACTCTTTCAAGATCTTCTCTATACAACTTATTAAAACTATATTGTAACGATGAATTATGTATTAATATTGTTCGTAATTCAATACAAAATGATTGAAGTGGATAAATTCTTTATCAATAAAAAATTACAACATTTTGTAATTCATTTAGAGGAGCAATTAACAAAAATAAAATATTTTTCAAAATATTTTGTCAAGTGATTTTATAGATTTGTATACACCAATTTAAGAGTATTATTGAAATTTATTTATTTATTTACTCTTTTATAAAATATAATTGTATATATTATATAATATTTGGTTAGGATTAGTATAATTATAAAATATTTAATTCTGAAGTACCATATATTTATATAGTTTTTATATTATAGATAGGTTTATATGTTTTATTCAGTAGTAAAGAATGAATATATATATATATATATATATATATATATATATATATATATATATATATATTAATTTTTTCAAGTTTAAGTGTATTGTATACAAGACAAAAGGGGTAGAGTTTCTAATAGCGTAGAATCGAAGAGGTAATAACAAAAGTGCTTATATGGTGATTCAAGAAACCAATTAGAAGGTGCAGCCGCAACAGAGGTAGAAAGAAGAGAGCATGAAGACCAACATAACAGTCTCAAACGCAAACACAATCTTAAAAATGACGTAGTCCATGAAGGAAAGTGGCCAACAAAGTTTCTTCAACTGGAATGCAGACCTCAAAAGCTTCATCTTCCTCATTGATTCCTTTCTCAGCCTCTTGAACGACCATCTCTTCATGCCCCCCATGTCTTGCACCCTCTCTCTATAAATCAATCTGAGTTTCCTCCTTCTTTATTTTTCTGTGTTTGCCTTGGAGGGTGAGTGCCTCACATAGAAATGATTTGAGTTAGTTATATTGAAGGAGGAAAGAAAAATTAGTTATCAAAGGCCTGGATTGGGGAATCAGTATCTTCTTACCATGCAGTTTGATTTTATGCAATATAGCACTCTATTCCATGAACTGCTGGCTAAGATGCCCCTTGCAAATAAAAAACCAAAGATACGTTCAAATGTCTGTGTTTCATAGAATCCGTCTCCTCTCTTTTTTTTGTTGGAGGATACCTTAGACACTATATAGTTGAAAAGACATGATCATGTTACTCGATATGATGAACAAGCATTTCATGTATATGGAATCTACCGAAAGCTTAGACATACAACTTTCACGTGTTTAGTTATTCCCTTCAAATTTTGAAAAGTCCAAGAATGCAACATACAAGTTTTTGTAATAAAGAATGTTGAATTTTTCAATATTCTTTTAATTATCTTTTGAACTCCTTCTTATGTTTTCTACTGGTAAAAAATGTGTGAGCGTAGTCCATTCTTTGTTAATGGAGCACGTATAAAATTTTGTGTATAGAATAAATATATTTCGTGCATGGAATATCTACCGAAAGCTCAAACATAATAAAACGTTAATTATTCCATTCATATTGCAAAAAATAATCTTAGGATGACTTTAGTAGGAGTGGTTGATTACCTAGCACAGCCCAGAAAAAAGGTTCAAGAATGTTTGTTTTTAAAAGCAGAAAAATAAAAAATGTTTAGTAAAAATAATTTTTGAAAAGTGTTTCTTAAAATTAAATATTTTTTGTTTCCCTACAAAGTATTCTCCTTCGAAACTCTTTTTTACTTGAAGGTTTAGGATTTAAAGAAATATGACATTTGCATCATCCCACAGTCCAAAAAATACCAGGTGATTTTTTAATGTGAAACTTGTAAAGTATTATTAGGGAAAAGAGTAGATGATACATGTGGAACTTTTTTTCTAAATACAAAACTCTATATAATATAAAAATTACTATTCTTAAATTTTTTTTATCAAGTGATTATATATCTATATATATATATATATATATATATATATATATATATATATATATATAATTATTATTTTAAAAAAATCCTTCAAAATAAGTTTCTCATCCTATATATTTATTAAAATTTGGAAGAATATAATAAAATGTTAAACAAATATGAAAAGATAATAATATAAAAATGTAAGAAGTTAATATAAATATATAAATATGTATATCTAATAATTATTAAATTTGAAATGTCAAAATAATAAATATTAATATATATTATAAATAATAATATAAGTTAATAACTTTTCTATAGTATTGGTTGATATAAGCTAATAATAATTAAATTCTACAGTTTATTCTCTTCAAATTATAACTTTTGATAATAATTTCATTCCAATAAAGACTAGTAAGACATTTATACAACCTTGGATCCATGATAAATTGGCTCCATTGAGTTCCCAATTTTTCAAGATTTGTCAACACAATAAATGAACGTTGCAATTCATCATTATAAATATTTATTTGACAAAATGAATATGATATTCTATAGTCAGGACTTGTACTTAGTTTTTGTAATTATTATTTTAGTTCATTCTTATTTAATTGTCAAAATTTTATTATTCAATAATCTGTTTAAACATGATGCTTTAGAAAAAATGTCAAATAATGCAACATCATAAAATAGTCAATCTTTCGCATTTATTGGTCAGTTTATATATTTAAATATTTGTTGCAGATAAACTAATTAAAAATGAACTTTTATTTAAATATTTGTAACTAGTAGAATAAGTAAGGAAATGTTATCATTACATGATGTGAAAGTTATTTGACTCGGTCTTTTTTCACAAACTCGGATTTGAATTTTGTAGATGGTAAAGATGTAATTTAAAACGTAATAAAGATGGTAAACCAAACTCTATATCAATATTATAAAAAAATTAAAATATTGTTCTAGGTCAAAATTATTCGATAATCTAAATTATTACGTCACTATTCTCTTGTTTAATTTTAAATATTAATAGTAATTGTGTGTGAGAGAGATAATTAAAACAAATAAATAAATTAATATCTATATAACACTGGTATAGTTCTTTTTCTGATAATTCTTTTTTCGCGTTGCTTTTTCAGTTTTAAATATGCTGTTGACCCACTGTGCTTCCAATGGTTTTTTTCTCTCCATATCCATAAGTTATTTCACTTGTATAAAGTTAATTAATGCGTCGTTTAGAAAATTATTTACAATTGACTAAAACAGCATAATTATTACACAAGTCTGCATGTGAATTTACACCTTAATTTTGTTTTGAAAACATAAAATGACACATGTGTTTTACATTCTAATAACTTTTTAAGTTCTTAAAAAAATATCACACTTAAAACCTTCCAATATACTGTGTAAGAAGAAAAAGAAAATATATAAATCTGATTAAAATATATTGGGTCTATAAAAAAAAATCAATCAAAATAAACAACCCTAATAGATATGGTAACGAGACAGGACAAGACAAAGACATGTTTTGGCTCCCTAATTTTTTTAATTGTCCCTGTCCCTACCCAATACTTACAATATATTCAAAACAAATCAATTTTGTTATTATTATCATTTATCTTAGCCAATACTTGAAAATGATCATTCCTTCTTAACATAAACTTTGACTTTTTTTTTAAGAAATCACTTTTTCTTTTTTAAATACACTTATACCCAGTCATTCATTCAGTTTAAATGTTATCTTTTTCTTTCATTTGTTTGCATAACCTTGAATTTTTCTATTTAATTTGAGCTTCACTTATCTTTAAAGTAAAAACTGTTAGGTAAAGACAATAAATCTAAAGAAGTCAAAAGATTAAAACCATAAACTATTTCAAAGGGTGACTATTGAGTTGTACAATGTATATTTGTTAAATTATTGGCAAGCATACCAAATTATCAATCGCAGTATAGTATTTCGATTAAATAAAAGTCGATCCCACGAGGAACAGTTTCAATGGAAATTCCCAATTATGCTTACTAAGTAGATTAAAACAGATTAGGTTTTGCAAATAAGAGTTGAATTGAAATTAAATGACAAAGACTTGTAAATTGTTGAGAAAATATCAATTAAAGGTACTTAGGATTGACTTCCTTCCTTATTCCTCTTTTGTAATGGCTATGTCAATTAAGAACGTCAATTAACCTAACAATGTTGATGTCACTTACTCAAATCATCCATGTTGATTCCTCACACATGAAATTCATAAGAAAACCTAATAAATGTTGATTCCTCACACAATTAAGAGATTTTCCAGCATTAGGGTTAGGGTGTTTAAGCACTTGATACATTCATTCCATTCCTGGCAATTAACGTAACAAATTTCTTACCGTGATCTAGGGTTCAAGATATATATTTTCCAATCATACCTCAAACAATCAAGAATAAATCATTCCAAAGCATAAAGGATAAGAATAACAACATCAAAGCATAGATTAATATATCAAAATATCACCATGATACAAAAGAGTTCAAAGGAAGTGCACCGAATCCTAAGAGAATGAAGTTAGTCACTTATGTTGGCCATTATAATGCTCCAATTGATGAAGAAGAATTGATGAAGATTGGACAAAACCCTAACAGTAGTCGTGTCTCCTCCTCTCCAAGACTGCTTGTTTTTCTCAAAACACAACTTATCTTTTTATAAGAGAATTTGGGTCGGGCCTTGCATCATTCATTCGCTTAAGCGCTCTTCTTTCTTTCAATTTTACTCTAATTATGCTAACAATTATGCTCCTTCCTTTTGTATCAAGGTATTCTCGAATTCATCCTATATTGGGAGAAAAATATATTAGAATTAACATAAGTTAAGTGGTTTCATAACAATTCAAGACATAATTATATCAACTTTTTACCACTTAACAACTCCCCCCAACCTAGAATCTTGCTTGTCCCAAGCAAAGTAATTTTTCCAAAACAAAATCATCACTTATTATCTTTTTCTCTTCTAGAACCACAACATAAAAATTTTCAGAGGTGATGCTCACAACTCCAAATGAAAATAGAACACATAAGCATTCAAGTTATAGAAACCAATAAAGAATAATTAGTCCTCAACTATCCTCAGAGAAGCATGATCTCTCAAATAGAGTTATATATACTCATCTCTAATTCTCACAGGTAAGTGTTTATCTCATTCAATCACTTCATTTAGACAATCCAATATTGATAATCATCTTCAAGCAATCAACAATTGTTAAATAAGACTTAAATCAAAAGGTCTTTTGAGGCTTGTAATGGGGCCGGGCTAAGAAAGAATTATTGGTTTTTCTGGGATATACAAAAATATTTGAGAAATTCAACTCATATGAATGATTCTTGATTAACAATTTCTCAAGTTAGGTTTCAAACTTTATGCTTTTGTCCCTAACACAATGACAATGAGTTAATAATCTCACAAGTTATTACCCCCCTTTTGAATTTTTTTTTTTTTTAATAATAACACCCCAACAATACCTGTAGGACAACAATAGCACTAACAAACAATAAGAAAAATAGTGACATTCATACTCATTTCCTTTCTCAAATATAAGAAGGTAGATAAATAGTGTTTAGGCTTAAGGGTTCTGTTTAAGAAACTATTATTTTTTTGGCTCAGAAGGGGTTCAAATGGATGTCCTATAATTAATGCATGGTTGACTATTTGGCTCTGGGTTATATCTACTACAAAGAAAAAATGTCTTTATCATTTTCAAGTCTTGCTAACATGTAATCACATCAAAGAATCAACCAATATCAGTTATCATCACAAAGTGTTGACACTCAATTTATCTGTTTGTGGTACTCTGCTCACCTGGGTTTTGGCTAGCTTCTCCAATTCAGTTAATTCCTAATTTTCCTCATCAATTCCTTTTCACTATCATACTCAATATCCCAAAATCACTTGTTATTGGAAACAATC